TTTTGCTAATTGTGAACAAAGATCCTAGGCCATTCTTCTGAACAATTGTGGAATAAACTTATGAGTTTGCTAAGGTATAGCAAGGAGCCAAAATATGTATTCTTAAAATATAATAATTGGATGCAAGTCCTAATATTTTAAATTATGCCATTAATACTTACAGTCTTGTAATTAAGAGACATGCTACTATTTAGTTGATCATTGCATAATAAGATGTTTGATTAATCGCTGCTTTACGGTGATTTTGGCACGTGCGTCGGGAGGGCGGAAAGGGCACATGCCTTTATCTCATCAACAATAATAATTCGGCGTGTAGTTGTCTTGTGTTGATATCGAGGGTGTTCCACCTAAGGATTCAGATTGAGACCGATTTTCGGGCAGTTTACTTGCTATGATGGAATTCTATCCAAGAATATCAGATTGGTATGAGTTTTGGAGTAGTTTTTTTCTGAATGTAAGCTACTTTTAGTCCAATCTGGCAACATTCCACATTGAGCTTGGATTAAGAAGACAAGCATAAACGATTAGTTCATGTATTGGCTAAGAGTGCGAGTTACACATATAACTATGGGCTTGTTCAAGCTTCTGAAATATTGTCCCACTTGTATTGCTTCGTTTTTCTCTTAAAATAATAAGATTACCAAAAAAAAAAAAAAAAAAAAAACACAATAATTGGCGGTCAGTGTAAACTTATCAATGCCAGGTTATTAAAGTTTTCCCTACCTGTGCAAGGAGTCCTTCCCATCATTGCCTTTCTGTTTTCATTTGGAGTTCTTTTTTTTCTGTTTTTTTGAATCCGAGTTTCCCGGCATGAGGAGGTTGGACACATTTGCTTTATTTGATTTTTTAAAAGTTCACACGTCCACAAATTTATTTACACTAATATTTTTTACACTTTTAAAATATTGAAATTTTTTAATCTTATTTCGAAATGTGCGTAACTATATGATTTTACTCCATATTAAAATTATATTTTTCAAAATGATTAACTGCATTTTTTTTTTATTCCCATCCACAAGTTATTTTATAGTATCATTTTTTTTTTTTACAGATCACGCCATGGTTTTTTTAAATTAGAGGTATAAAAAATTTTTGGAGTCTTTCTAAAAAAAAAAAAACAATGATTTTAGTAAATGTTTTAACGGTAAAAATATGGAAAAACAGATCCCATTGAGCTTACAACAAAAATGCCACAAAGAGCACTGCCAATTTGCAAAGCAAGAAGACCAAGAGAGGCCCAAACAGCACCATGGGATATGATTGTGCCGTGAGGTTTATGTGGCAACCAAAATACTAAATTGTTGAATTAATATATTATTCTAAATCATCCGGATATAACAATTCTTTTTATATTGTTCAATTCCAGGGTAGAAAATTGCACAAACAACCGGCGTACCATTATGATTCTTTGCACAGTCCATTTTCAATTAACAAAAAGAGCAAGAAGAAGCAAAATGTATTTATTAATGATAAAATTTGATATGACTTTGTAATTCTTAAAATAATTGAAATGTAATTAATTAAAAAAGGGTTTTAGTTTTTCATATTAATCATTAAAAAGCCAAAAGACTACATCTTTGATTTTGGCTCTCATTCTCTTTGTTCTCTTTTTCTTTTTTCTTGGTTTTCTTTTTCACTCAATCTTTTTGTTCCTTGGTGAGCCCATTGACAATTGTCCCATTTATAGTCTAATATTTCATATACTCATTCGTCCCATAACTTTCAAGGAAAGCTGTCGAGCAGTGCTTGAAACAAATTGTGTTTTGAAGGTAAATAAACTCCCAAAACATATGAAATAGATTAGATATCTGACTCGCTCACGCTGAATTCTCAAATCAAAAATCACGAGTTTGAATTTAATAACTCATTTCGAAGCATCGTTTTTGTGTGTTAATTTCATTATTGCGAGTTTTATGTAGCGACCAAACTAATATTGCGCAATTATTCAACATTAAATTAAGAATATTAATGAAATTTAATATTCTTGTATTTCAACGATAACATACTTTGATTCTCCATGCTTACATAACAATGCTTATATTGTAAAAACATTTCTTCTCTTATTTAGATTTTCATAATTTTCGTTCATTCCATCAAATTTGCGAACTCCAGCATCATAGATACTATACGCGTATATATAATTAATGGATGCTTTTTTGTTTAATTGTTTCTGCTGGTAGCGAAAGTGAATTTGTTCAATTTGATTCTTCAGATCTGCATGTTTGAATTTTCTATTCAGCGAAAAGTTTTATATTATACCCGCTTTACACATATTGAAAATGCCGTTTGTTATATTAGGTGGTATTCTGGCAATTTATGCATAGTGCTTACCTCTAAAGATGTCATTTTTTGAAATTAAGTAATAATTTGCATAATTGAATTAAACAAGCGTGTAAAATAGATTTAATATGAGTATATACTATTAGTAGTAGGTAATTATATATATATCATAATTATCTATCACCTATACTGAAGCTAATATATACTATATATATTAATACTATATAATAGTATAATTTTCACGTTTATCTCAATCTATAAGATTTTCATGTTTAATATGAGAAAATCTTAAAAATGTTAGACGAAAGTTATAGAATAATATTTAATAATTATAAAAAAAGAGTATAGATAATGAGTAAAAAACAGACTATATGCTTTTATGATTTAGTTAATTATCTGCGGATTAAATTAATAATTCAGTAGCCAGCTTAGAAATAGCTAAATTAAGATGATTCTGTTATATTCCATCTTCTCTGTGACCAATAGAATTCGTAGAAGAAATCAACAAATTCTAAATACTAATCCCTCACTATTCGCTTGTAATCCACACCTCACATATGTTTTAAAATACTATTTTTATCTAATATCTTATGA